AATGGGGACTTACAGCCAATGGGCAGAGTGAGGGGGTCAGTATACTAAGTGGAAATACTGAGGGTAGGGGGATCCTTGCTAAAATAGCCTAACAATATTCCTGCTAAAAGCCAACCTAGGACCTAGTTATCAAGGGTGAGGGATGAGGAGAGATGTCAAGGGTGGAGGGATTCTTACTAAACTGACTTAGCAGGATTCCTTGCTAAAAACTGGGCTCAGTGGGTCAAGGGCGGGGATGTAGTTCAAGGTCAAGATCTAGTTGAAAAGACACTTGGGGGAGCCTGACTAAAGTTTGGTCAAGGAGAAAGCCTTTGTCAATAGACTAGTCAGAAGGTGAAGGTAATGTTCACTGATTCATTAGTTGCTTATTATCACCCAGTGCTCATCACATCACGTGCCCTCCTTAATAACCAACATTGAACACTACACCAAAAACTAATGATGTATTATATGTTGGCTAACTGATTTAAATAAAAAGGAAAAAAAATTAAAAATTTTGTAAAAAGATGAAGGTAAGAGAAACAAACATCATGGGATTTTAAAAACAAATTGGTTTTTGAAAGACTGACCTAAACCTCTGAGCTTCATGTAACATGTTAATCCCTTTGGCTGAGAGTAAAATAAGGACATCCACTTGAGCACTTTCATTTTGAACCACGTGAGGTTGCATTTTAAAGTCCTCTAAATTCTTAGTTGTGGTATGTCATTAAACTGAATTTAATGAAACCATCTCAATTCCCTTTTAAAGTTCTCTTCTGATAGAGGTGAGCTTTTATTTTTTCTCCAGTCTTGAGATGGAAGGATTTAGTATAGAGCTCAAGAGTAAATATCCTTAATAGGATAGAGATAATCAAAGGAATGGTGATTACTACATTTTACTGCAAACATTCTATAAGTGGGCAGGAGATAAGAACAAATCCTACCTTTTAGATTCTGCTAAATTTATTTTAACTTTACACTTCGTTTACTTGACATTTGAGCAACAATAGCAGCAGGATCCCTTTTCAGTAAATCTATCCTGGGAAACTCTTTAAATGATCTCCTCAAGGGTGGCTTATCTCACCATCTGTCACCACTGCAAAAAATTGAGCATTGAATTCAAACACTCTTTTGTGCCTAATCTTTTGATGTCCACCAGGATGCTCAGGAAGGTAAGAACATTAGTAAGTATTAATTCAGCATCCACCACTGGCTGGCGCTGTTCTCCGTCCTAACAGGTCTGGGTTCTTTCAGTATTTACAGCCTAAAGGGGAGACAGACAAATATTACAAAATTATATGCCATTTGACAAGTGCTGTAACAGGACATGGTACAGGGTGCTGTTGGAACACACAAGAAGAGTGTCCATCCCACTTCTTGGGTTAGGGTAAGGTTGGGAATAGAGGGTGTGGTTAGGGTGTGAGTGTGTTTGTATTTGCATGAGGTATTGGTGATCCGTTGGAGAGGAGTAGTGGCCTCCTTGGGGAGGAAGGAGGTGCAAGAGGTGATTTATAAATGGAGACCCAAAAGGTAGAGTAGGTATTATTCAAGAGGAAGGAGGGGGCCTGGGATGGGTGTTCTTCAAAGAAGAAATACCATGTGCAAGGATCCAAGGGCAAATGGGAATATGTATTTAATTTAACATGTCAGATAAATGCTTCTCAAATTCTAACGGGCAGGTAAATCCCCCAGGTTGAATGTTAAAATGCAGATTCTGATTCAGTAATTCTAGGGAGAGACCTGAATTCCTGGGTATATAACCAGCTCCTAAGCGGTATCAATGCTGTTGGTTCACAGACCAAACTTTGAGTAGCAAAATATAGGCAACTTGATTTCCAGTAACAGGACACTTATCTCTCTGGAGAAGTCACTGACTATTCTCTAAGCCATTGTCACTACTGATGACCTACTTATTCACACTGCATGAATCCTTGATGACTGTACTGTGGTGGCAACTCAGCACCTCATTCACATATGATATTTTCTGTAAGGGAGACTACTTCTCTTCCCATTGTATTTTTAAAGTCACTACTTCAAACTCTGCTTTTGTACCTTCTTTTCCACTTTGATCTACCTCCTCATTGAAACACATTTAGCAGTTTCAGCATGAAACCAGTCTGAAAGGATGTGCTTAAGAAATATTGTCAACATTTGTCAAAATCAAAGAAAATGTCCCAGGGAAGAACTTGCAGGCTTCCCCATTAGGAGCAACTTATAAGGTTGCACTGTATCTTGACAGCAGTTCTTCTAATGTCAGTTTGCCCTCATTTTAATAAATGCATGAGTCTCATGTTGCTGTCTCTGCCTCATCCAGTAGCAGCCGATGTTCTGCTTCCCCAGAGACCAAAGACAGCATCTTTGCAAACACTCTAAAAATTCCATCTCCATCCCAAAGGCATGGGAACAGATTGGGCTGCGTTGTCAAGTCACTTACTGGGAACTCACACCCATGTCACATGGTTTAAAAGAGAAGCCTCTCTACACATAGTTTTGCACGTTAGGCGTCACCAAATTGATTTATAATGTGTTTCTGGGGATTAGAAGTTGCTTTCGCTTTGGATATTGCTGCAGTGGAACTGCATCACCTTTGTCGAGTAATGCATTGATTTTACTCCCACTAATGTGAGTCTACTACCCTGTTTAATTCTCACAATAATAAATAAATACACACATATGCACATATATATTTAAAATTACTTTCTGTATTAGTGCTATACAGACTTAGCATTAGGACAAATGGAGTGAGCCTTATAGGCAAATAACACTTTCAAAGTCCTTCTTCACCTTCATTTCCAACTGGGATCTCACAATCATCTTAAAGGCAGTCAGGCTTTCATACCAAGGTATATGTGGGTAGATTTGTCATTTCTTCCTTCCACTAGACTAACGCAGCAGTCCTTAAACTTTTTTTATGCATGAAAATTACCGTAGCACCTTGTCTACCTGCAGTCATATACAATGTGCTTTATGGGAAAATGAGGAATTTCCATGGGTGATCTTTTACTTTTTTCTGTGTTCCCATTAACCCTTACTTTGGACCTAACTAACTCTCCCCAAGGTAGATGTCATTCTCCTCTAGAGCAATCAGAGATTATTGAAGCTCTTTTCCTACCCTGTTTCACATCAGATCTGTCTCAACCTTACTTCTCAGCCTGCTTTCGTCTCACTCCTAAGGTTGTTAACCCTGTAGAGAGAAATGGGAGATGTCCTAACCCTGGAAAGTATGATTTCCTTGACTCATGAGCCAAGTTATTACATATCCAAGTTAGCTTGGTCTATGGGCTTACCTTCCACATAGAAGTGGCTTGGAACCTACCAATGATAAACGTTTGGCATTTGGGTAAGAGCCAGACTGTCCTAAGGCCAGGAAAGCATTCAGAGGGGCATCTGCTATTGGGTGTGAGGTATAGGCACACTTAAGTGTCAGCTAAAAGTTACGGGCCCCACATTGTGAGACACCTGTAAAAATAGGGCTTGGGCTCTCCATGATATTTTGCAAGTGATTTCTAGTGCCAGAAAGGACCACGACTTTACTCCCAACATTCATTTAAAAATGAAGAGACAGATCCAAAGAAGCAGGCAGCAGAGTAGCTAGGAATCTGGAGCCAAGTACCAGCCTCCTTTCTTTTTTCTTTCCACTGCCTTTTCCCAGTTAAGCCAAGATTAACATGAGTGCTCTCCTTTCACTTAAATTAAGCTCATTCTCGGGCACCTGGGTGGCTCAGTTGGTTAAGCGACTGCCTTCAGCTCAGGTCGTGATCCTGAAGTCCCGGGATCGAGTCCCACATCGGACTCCCTGCTCAGCAGGGAGTCTGCTTCTCCCTCTGACCCTCTTCCCTCTCGTGCTCTCTATCTCTCATTCTCTCTCTCTCAAATA